TTTAACCTTATTAAAAAGTTATGGTTGGTATAACCATTACCCTATATTACAACTCCTGTTACGGTAACAAAAATTTTTACTATTTTATTGCGAGTGAATATTCGAGGATATCCACATTTAGATCCGACGATCCAAATTATTGGACCTCATCTACGTGGATCCTCGCTGTCTGGTCCAAGCTGCTCAAATTGATTGATTTGCAACTCCCAATGGCTTCGTGCCACGTAGCCAACCAAGCTTATCTCTCATGTTCGCGGCGGCTCGTTCCTCCACGATGGCTAAAGTGGGGACCACTCTCCTCCCGACCCTAGTATAAAATCCAAGCCCCATTTATACATTCCAACTCAGCTCCGCCCCCATTAGACTCTGTTTTTTACGCGATAATGGCCACCTTTTACAGAAAATTTCCGGGTAGTGATCGGAGTTTTAAATACGTTCTTCGGGAATTCAGTTTTCCGGTAAGAACAGATTCCGATTCTTCCGATGTGGAATTTGAGTTTCTTGAGGATGATGTTGAGGTGACTCCGGCGGGAAGCAGCAATGATGAGAACCAAAGTTTGGATGGAGAATTAGACGGCGAAGAGAGAGAAAACGGTGCTGGTAGTGTTGAGAAGAACAAGAGTTTTTGGGAGAGTCAACATCAGCTTTTGATGGGTACTCTGTACCGTAGTAGCTCGCTGGAATCGAGAATCAGAAATTCTGTTAAAGATGCATTGAATGAAATCCGGGAAACCGGAGGAAACGTGTGTGCATGCGGGAGACCGGCGGCCGGAAACTGCAAAAATTGCCTCATGAAAGAAGTCTCTTTCCGGCTCCAAAATGCCGGTTTCAACAGCGCTATTTGTCGGTCAAAATGGAGAAGTTCACAGTGTATCCCTTCAGGTAAAGATTCATCGCTGATTTAATCAGTTTGAGGTTTAAAAAATTAAGATCCACAAGTGGGTTTGAGTATCAGAATTCTGATGGATATCTTCCTGAATTTCTTTTGTAGGGGAGCATGCATTTCTTGATGTCATAGAGAATTCTAAGAAAGGAGAAATGAGGATCATAGTCGAGCTGAATTTTAGAGTGGAGTTCGAGATTGCCAGAGCAAGTGAGGAGTACAACCAACTGGTAAAGCAGCTGCCGGAGGCGTTCGTCGGAAAAGTTGAGAGATTAACAAATGTAATCAAGATCTTGTGCTCGGCGGCTAAGAAGTGCATGAAGGAGAAGAAGATGCATTTGGGGCCATGGAGAAAACAGAGGTACATGCAGGCTAAGTGGCTTAGCGCATGTGAACGGGCGACGCCTGTGCAACCTTTGCCGACGGTGTATTCTGGCCGGTTACAGAAGTCCAGGGCGTCGATGTTGACTGTGGATTTGTTGGAGAAGATGTCCAATATGCACTGTACAGCGGTGAAAGTTGTCTGACGGAACAATCAAGACTGGGAGAGTTCCCCCCCCACCCCCCTTCCTTTTTTTTCTTTTTCAGTATGTAATTTCGATTTACAATTTTCTGTGTCCTTGTGATCCCCAACGTCCACTGGCACTGGTAGGTTTAAAGAATGGAACTTAGTTTATTAATTTGGTTAAATACCTTTTTTTGTCCCTTTACTATAGAAAAAAACTTTTTTTTTAGTTCTTATACCAAAAAATTCTTTTTTTGTCCCTCTACTATAGAAAAAAACTTTTTTTTTAGTTCTTATACCAAAAAATTCTCCTTTTTTATCGTTACTATTTGAAATCCAGCCCCTTTTTAGTCCTTCTATTAAATTTTGACTAACGTGACAGGTTAACTAACGGAAAAACTTTTTTTTTTCTTTATTTTAATTACGTGAAAAATCCACTTGGTATAACTTGATGTCATGGCCAAATTTTTTTGCCTAATTTAATCCTGAAAATCATTTCATTACATAATTACCATTATAAATATTTTAAAGATTATTCTGTAATTAAAAATACTTAACTTTAATTACTTATTTGCCCCCATCTTCTTCCCACTTCTGTCTTATCCTCTTTTGCCCCATCTTTTTCCACCTTCTGTTTTATGCCACTAGGTTTGTTGCAAACCTAGGTTCGTCACGATGATCAAATTCTTTGAATGATCAAATCGATAATCAAAATTCAAACACGAAATCAAAATATTTCATACTTAGAATCAATAGATGCAAGTTAAAATCTAATATAAAAAGCAAGATACATAATAGAAGAGATTCGAATCTCCAACTACAATACTCAAAATTGTTCCTAAGAACGATCTAATCATCAAATGAAATTCAAAAGCTAAATCCACATCATTCATGTTCAAAGACAATGAAAACAAAAAATGGAATATGAAATACAAAGTCCTAGCATTCAAACTGAATCAGTAGAAGAAACTAGGAGTTGGGTTCGTCACAAACCCAACCTAGATTTGGGTTCGTTTTGCGAGCCCAGGTGTTGGGTTTGCATCACGAACCCACACGAATCAAGGTATTAGGTTTGCGTCACGAACCCACGCGAACCTAAGCGTTGGGTTCGTGACGCCAACCCAAACACTAAATTCGTGACACAAACCCAAGCATTGGGTTAGTATTACAAACCCACGCAAACCCAGGCATTGGGTTTCTGTCACGAACCCACGCGAACCCAGGTGCTAGGTTTATGTCACGAATGCACGTTAACCTAAGCAAACCTAGCGCGAACCAAGCTGGGTTCACAAAGATCCTAGTGAGATTTGAAAGGTAAACAAAAAAAAAAAAGTTAGAGGAAGGAAGAAGATGAGGGCAAATAAGTAATTAAAAGTAAGTATTTTTAATCACAAAATAATCTTTAAAATATTCATAATGAAAATTATGTAATTAAATGATTTTTAAGGTTAAATTAGACAAAAAAAATTTGGCCATGTCATTAAGTTGTCCCAAGTGGATTTTTCATGTAATTAAAATAAGGAAAAAAATAAGTTTTTTCATTAGTTAACTTGCCACGTCAATCAAAATTTAATGGATGGACTAAAAAAGGATTGGATTTCAAACAGTAAGGATTAAAAAAGAGATTTTTTCTGTACAGGAACTAAAAATGGGTTTTTTTCTATAGTAGAGGGACCAAAAGGGTATTTAACCTATTAATTTTGAAAATTTTAGTTTTTTTAATCTTATATTATAAAGTTTTTATCCTATAAATTTAAAGATTTAAAAATTTTAATTCTTAAATTAATAAAATTTATTAACTCTCTATTAAAGTGAAAATAAAATATTTACAAAATTAATTCTTAAAAATTAAAAATATAATAATTTAATTATAAACGTTTAGAAATTAATAAATTAATAAATTAAAAAAATTAATAGATGATTTTTTCAAATATATTAAAATAGTATTATATATTTATAATAAATCAAATGATTATCTCAATTTAAAAAAA